TTTTAATGTGGTTTATTGTTTTCATTTCTAGTTTTTGGTTCACGGTGGGCAAAATGAAATCCCCACGAAAGAAAGACCGGTGGGGAAAGAAGGACCTCAAGATTGTATGGCATCAAATTTAGGGTCCTTTTTCTTTTATTTTTCTCTCATCTATTATATCATTTTATATTTTAAAAAAAAGTTATTACTTCTTCTCTTTTGTTTTGTTTTGTTTTTTTTTTATTATTATATTTCGTCAAAAATTCATCATTAAAATATTCGAATGTTACTTTTTTCTATTAAGTCTTCTCTTTAATCATATACTTTAATTATGTTCTCTATATTTTCTATTAAGTATTCTCTTTAATCTTATACTTTAATTATGTTCTCTATATTCAACACTTTAATTATACTCTTTCTAGAGTAACTAGTATTCGACCTGTGCATTTGCACAGATATATAAATAAAGTATTGTGAGTTATTTGTATTCATATAATGATTAATGATTTTTGCCAAATTTACAACTAAATGAGCTGATATTTTTTTTTTTTAAAAAAAAATTGTGTTTATCATATTGAATGTAATGTATATTTTGATATGTATCTTTTTTTGTGAAATTATTTATTATTTATTTAAGAATTTCAAATACGTTTTTTATTTTCCAAAAGAAGCTAATTTAAATGTAATCACAATAATAACATCTAATCACATTAAATAGTTAATACATTATATGATCAGTTGTAAGTAAATGAAAAATTTAAAATGATATTTGTAATTTTGAAGTGATTAGTGTGTTGATTATTTAATAATTAAATGAGAGGTTAAATATATAAAAAATAACAGTTTTTGGAGGGAAAAAATTATATTGCCACATAGGTATAACATAATAGGTTTTATTAAATGCTCATTAGCCAGCAATTATATATATATATATGACATAAGTACATAATATAGTAGTGTACATAACACTCACATTGAACGGGACCGACTAAAAATAAAAAATCAAGTGGACCTCACTACATGTGAGTGCTATATACACCTCTATGTATATTTATTATGTAATTATTATATTTAATTAATCTAAAAGTTATTGGAATTCAAAATATTTTCATTAAATTAGAAGTATCATAATAAGTATTTTGTCTATTAAAAAATGTCTTCTACAAATAAACGAAACCGATTAAACCAATAAAGTACACATGATTAGGTGAATGAATGGGTGGGTGGATTTTTTGTTTTATTCGAATGAATTGGCTATTATAATAATGGATGGTGCAGTTTTCCGCGTGCTGGAAAACGTCCTTACGAGCTGCCACGTGTACTATGCCATGCCAATTTCCAGGTCCAACATTCATTTATGTACAAAATGCCCCCGTCTTTATCCGCTACAACGACAAGACTTTTTCCCTATTCTTTTTTTTTTTAATTATTATTATTATTATTATTATTATTATTATTATTATTATTATCTATACTTATATAAAAAAGACATTCTATTTATTAAATTAATAGTAAGAAAAGTCAAAGGTAATTAATTCATTCTATTTCCATCAAGTATTTTTTATTTAATTATTTTAGTTAATTGTTTTATCTCATAACACATTTTCAATACAACTTTAAAGGCATTCTATTTACTAAAATTAGCAGTAAGAAAAGTTAAAGGTAATTAATTCATTCTATTTCCATGAAGTATTTTATTTAATTATTTTAGTTAATTGTTTTATCTCATAACACTTTTTCAATACAAACTTTACATGATTTTTCTATTGTGATTAAAAACCAAAATTTTACGTTTAAAATCTTGTGAAATTATTATTATTATTTTTATAAGCACATATTATTTGTCAAAAAATTGTATATATATATATAATACACATCACAGTACCATGGTAGGTGATTTAAATTTCAACCGACCAAAATGCCAATGATTTAAATTTGAACACACCTATGCGTTTGACCAAATGTCTGCATGATTTAAAATTGAGCCCATAAAAATATTTAAATTTGAACACACCAGGAATTTTATGTACTTTTTATTTATAAATATATTGAAAATGGTATTTAATAGTTGTTATATAAACTATTTTAATATATTTACAATGAATAAAAGTTTGAATGAATAATTTGTAATATTATTCATAATGTTTGTGACTTATGAGACACGAACACATAACTTCATACATATTTGTCAAAGGACAGCTTAATAATTTTTTAGACTTAACATTAATTAAAAGAATTAAAAAATAGATAATAACATTATTACTTTTTAGACTTAAACGGACAATGTTGTAAAAATAACTCATTTAATGTCTTTGTCCCGTATCACACGGGGTACATACTAGTTCATCTAGAAAGCATCGGAGATATCGGCAAATACAACAATAATTGGTTCTTCCTCAAATGAAAATTGGTTTACACTTCTTTTACGTAAATTTATTCATTCAGTTGTAAAATATTTACAATAAAAATATTTGTTTGTATAACAAAACATATAGAAGTATTACATTAAATATTTTCGAAACATATAGAAGAATTTTGTTTTTCTTTGAAAAACAAAGAAAAAAAGTGAAACTAATAAGAATAGTTGTTTAAAATCAATTTTCACTGATTAAAATTATATAATAATGATAATAATATTTAAAAATTGTTGCAAATTGCTCAATCCAGTCTGCTCTAGATAATTGAAAAAAAAAATGAAAAGGAAATCCAACATGCTATAAATAAATAATCAGAAAAGAGAAATAGTTTAGTAGAGGTAATGATTATTTAATTATTTATAGATTCTAGAGAACTTCTATTTTAATTGGCATCAAGATGGTAAATGCCGTACGTCAAAACTATCGTGATGTAACATGTAAAAAAAGCTTCATATTTCATCATCTGTAAAAAGTAAAAACACTTAAAAAGTGGACTATTGTTTTGATTTTACCATAATAAAACTACAAAAACGTGGGATATGTCATATGTGTCCTTTCGAGAGGATGATCAGAGTTGATTTATAATGTACACGCATTCGTATAACTTAAAATTTTGACAAAAAACACAATATACATGTGGCACGCAGAACAAAGACAAATAAATCAATTATTCAACCACCACGCATATATATTGTACGCACTCCAAAGTTTGAAGACCTATGTAGGTATTGTAAGAAACGGGTAAAACAGGTGCGGTCTCTTGTGAAATATACCATAAATAGGGAAAACTCATATAAAGTTTAAGTAAGATTTCGTCCTAATATTAATTAGTGCAAAAGGAAGTAGCTCATTAGACTTATAAATTGAGCATATTTTCTCTATATAAACGATATGAGACAACTCACAAATGAATATTGTACTAGATATCACGTAACACTACAAAAAAATATGAGCACACAAATCAATGGTACTATGAAAGACACCAAGAGCACAAGTGAAAATTTTGATTAAATTTAAATTTAATACCACACTTATGAAAAATTAATTTACATCAAAATACGATAATAAAGCTCAAATATAACTCGATAGCAAATTTGACACCCCTACTTTAAGTCATAAACAACGATTAACAAAATAAAAATAAAATTAACCACTACTTTGAGGCATATCAAATAACTTATAGTATAACTATCCAAATAGTTAATTTCTAATGTTCTTATATTAATTCAGCACTTACAGTAAATTACCACAACCAATTTGGTGACTGGCTTTTTTTGAGAACTTTGTGCAAGTCTCTATCATATGAACATATAACTATGGGAAAATGCTACAGTCCCGTTACGCTACCATCCCGTCGGCTGTTTTAACCGTTGGATCCACATATAGTTAGATAAGATAGATGATCCAATGGTTAAAACACCCGATGAGATGGTACCGTAAGGACAGTACCATTTCCCATAACTATGATCAGGATTTTTTTTTTTTTTTTC